TGGTTGTCGTCTTCAAAGATCAGGAAAAGACGTAAATGTGTTTGGATTAACTAACCAAGGTCTTTTGGAATACACATAGTGTAATGCCATGCTGTTGTGCACAGTCACTGAACACGCCACTTACAGTCCTAGGACAGGCACTTGAAGTTGTGCAGGTTTTTACGTGCCTGGGAAGTTGTATTAACTCCGATCGCCGTGTGGCAGATGAGGTTGATGTTTGCAGCTCCAAGGCTCGGGTTACGTTCCCTAATGTGAGACACCTACGGTGGAAAAGCAACTGCTTTGTTATGTGGCTGAGACGCTTTCTGCGCAAGCAACTGAATTGGGATACTTTCATCTGTTCGACAACCTATGTCTCAGAATCACAATTGGTTTAGGCTGGTGTCGCCGAATCCCCAACAAGGCAACGTTTGTGCGAAAGTAAGCTTTATCGAAGAATGTGTCCAGCACCAGAAGCTGTGTTGGCTAGGCCATGCATTGTGCATGTCGAAGAGGGTGCAGTTTTCCGCATCCGATTAAGAATGGCGGAAGCAGAGAGATGGGTTAGCCTTTGACCTGGCAGAAGGGCATGAAGAGATTACGAGAAGTCTGAGTGCAGTCAGTGCAACTCGCGTGATCCCCATTGTGCCTGATTGGAAAGGCTGCAATATGTGGCTGCTAATCTATATCGATGACGTTTCTGTTTTCAGTTTCTATCCAAATGGTTCGGATGAGGATCCGAATGTGTAGGCATGTCGGAATGGCCTTGGTGGGCTAGCATTAAGTCCCTTCCCAGTCCACCTCTACACTTTTCTCCAACATAAGGCTTTCAAAAAAATCATAGTTGTACGTTCAAGATATCGAATTGTTTTTCATTATATGACATTACTTATAGGGCTTTCAGTACCGGTACAAATAGGCAAGTAATTCGTCTCACATTACTCATTTAGTAACCACGAAATTTAGGTTGAGATATACGAAGGGAAATGAATGAAATTCTGATTATATGGAGGGCTAATGCTATTTCTTTTTTGTTCCCGGAATTATGCCTTGTAAGTAGAAAAAGTAACAGTAAAATATATTATAGCAACAAATGGTTAAATGACTAGTATTGACCCTGACCACTCACTTAGCTAGCAACCGTGCCACATTAAAGAACACGCAGTGTGTAAGTTGTGTGAAAAAATTGTTTATTCCTATCTGGTTTGTCTTCCCGGCGAAGCCACTTTTTATGGCCAGTTATTTTTTCGGGAGCTGTCTCCGTTCCACCAATGAATCTGACCGCGTCTGTATTTATAGTATACTCTACTGCGTGAGAACAAGTCTTTGAGATAGGTGCCGGGTCGCCCAACCGACGTCGTTTGCGGAATATTCTCAAACAAATGGATATATTACCATGAAAGTCTTGGGCCTGCACCTTATCTTTGACGTTCGTGCTGAGCATTGATCACTAGCGAAGAAAATCCTCGATTGAGCGGCGTCGAAAGTTCTCCTTACTGAGGAATGCCGCTTCCACTTCTTTGTTTTTGGAGAGTTCTGGCTTCTTAAGAGTGGCTTGACGTATATGGACAGCTCGGGGAACGAGTAAGTGAAAGAATACCTTGGATATTTTATCTCCAACTTTTTCGAGTATGCAGTTTCTATCAGGGTTCTTGATATATGCAATGTCATCTGCATAGATCTTAAGAACTCTTTGCTAGGAACTTGACAAGGCTTCTTTTGTAATTCATGTCTACAATGTTGTGCAATTGAGTGGCTACAAGCATCTGAAAACCAGGCGTAATTGAGCAGTTTCCTAATAATAAACAACTGCCTTCAGGTATAAAATAGCTTTAGAGCATGATGCTCCAGACTCTAACTTTGAGGGAACAATGTCGCAATCTCATGAACCGAAAGGAAACAAGCTAGTGGAATTGTGCTGAGTCATACAACGCAGGTTATTTACAAGAGACAGCTAAATAGCCATCCATAGGACAGCTTACTAAAACGGTAGTGATCCTGATACTTTAATTCAAGCCTAAATAACGACAGAACCAACTTTGGGGGATTACTGGAGATGTCTTAGCAATCCTATAAGTGATTTAGCTAACTCTTGTGAGTTATGGAAGCAATTCAAAGAAGTCGAGCTTTGGGTTCAGTTTCCTGACAATCACTTTGTCCGAGTTCAGAATGGCTCATCAGTGAGTGTACAACTTGTATGTGGTCAGTCAGTAGTCTGCGTCATTAAATATGTCGTCTGAAGGATTTTCTGAATCGCTCACTGCCTAGTGACCAGATTTTTGTATCTACTCAGTTCCTCTGTGCATCTATGCACTGAAGGACTATGATCGACTTGCTCTTGTTTGCAGTTCATTACACTAGCATTTTCTGTGGAAAACATCCACAAAATCAGCCTTTATTTGACCTGACAGACATGCGATCCGGTCAAATTATTCGCATTTCTGGAGCGTCATTATGGGGGATTTTCTGGCACGTGACTTCCGTAATGCACCTCGGCCAAACTTTCGGTTCGGCTCCAATGGGTATAAGAGGCATCCTGTCAAAGAGTAGAGTACACAAGAGACATTTCCAGCCAGAGGAATATGGAAGTATTCCTTTTCTCTAAAGAGACCTTCAATCTCCATGCACTTTATATAAAAAGTTGTCTTGTCTTTCCCCCAACGAAACGAAAGGCTACTAACTGGATAACCTATAAGAAAACAACACAAAAACGAGGCGTTTCATAGGTGTGGTGATTGCCTTTGGCCATATAATTTAGAAATTTGAATTAAAGTATCGGTGGTTTCTGAGGTGCTCCAAATTGCCTAAACTAGCCTTTATATTGTAAAGGACTTCATCCAGCTTGAGTTGCTTCTTTCTGATATCATTCATCTGACAACTTTTATGCGCAACTTTTCGGTCCTGTATATTAACGTAGACAGGAGTGGCACACACCAATGCAGCAGTGGTGGACACCGAAGCGTAATATTTCAACAATCATGTCACTTTTTTGGTCGTATTCAGCTTTGGCATGAAAAAAATGCCACGAAACCTCTATGGATAACTCCTCAATAAAGCGTGGAAGAAAGAGAGCAAGCGGGAACTTAGTAGAAGTATCTTAATATTTCTTTTTGAAACGGGCCGTATTGAAGTAAACTTATCTAAATGTCCTGTCGGAGTAACATTTTTTGGCCCGCTTCTTTTGCAAGCCTCACCATACACTAATACAGTGTACAAAAACCGGCCTAGCCCTGGAAATGATTGCGTTCCACTTCACATGATGTACCTTGTTAGTTTCACCTGGGGATGCACGAAGATCCCTCAGCTTTGTGACTTTGGCTACCTTTTCTGTACCCATACCTATGCCTCGAGGAACTTTCACTTGTGAGCTTACGAGAGGATAAACCAATTTTACTTTGCAAGACGATGGTCGGTCATGTTTAATACATGTCCAAACCACCTATATACGGTTAGCCGTATTTGCTGCTTTGACCAACCTGTATCAGAGTTCTACTACGCTACGAAAGCACTCCTACCCACACTTTTGAATACCGTATAATTGTCACACTTCAAGACAGATTTTTCTTATATCCCACTATAGCATCAAAGTCTAACTTAAATGCAGAACTTGGAGAGGAGATTGAAGCTTGTTTTGAAAGATGTTGTCAACGTGACTTTGAAACGACGTTAGTCTAAATTGAAGGCCAATTCTCGAGTGGCAACTATTTCACTTGCAACCTTGACTGAACTGCTAGGATGTTGCAGCATTTTTCAATAGTCTATGTCGATCTGAGTTTATAACGGCGCCTCACCTGCAGCGGAACTGGATGTGAACGAGGATTTCGGAAATTGCTCTAGCAAACTTTATCAGGACGTGCTACAAGCCACAATGGAAAATAAGAAACGCTGATCGGGCATTGAGTAACTCAATGAGTCTGATTTGAAGCCATATCATTAAAGTTAAATTTTATATTTGAGCCATTCTGTGAGGTGTAATATATCTATTTTGAGGGAAAAATTCAGCAAAACAATTGAACGTTTGGCTTGGAAATAAAATCCTTCCTGGAAGTTTTCGTAATTACTTTGTACAGTTTGCTTAAGACTTTATATGCCATCTTTGGTCCCGAAACACTATCCATGAAGACATTCCATTCCGGGAGAGGCCACAGAGCCTCTTCACCTGTGGTGGCTCTCATAGGTCACTACATTCTGTGAGCCTTCTTAGATCAGAAATGTAGAAGTTTGATTCCCGCCGACGAGCCTTCTTAGATTAGAAAGGTGAAAGTTTGATTCCCGCCGACGAGTTTCAAACGACAATCGAAATTCTGTTATGAATCTTGTGTCATTATACGACATCACAATCCATCACCTACTGTCATAGTGATTAGTGTGGATATTTTGTATTGAATGGATGTGACGAACAGTCGTGCAGCATGTAATCCTATACACTTTAGCGTGTTGAAACGAAATTTTTGGTGGCCGGAAATATTATGACGTGAACAGTAAGACCTGGGTCAGGTTGTCACACTAGGAGTGACGTATGACATTAGGAAACTATTCCGAATCATAGTGCGGCAAATCAACGGAAGGCTGCATACATGAATGAGCGAATGGGGCGTTCATAATCCACGCAGTGATTCTGCCATGGTAAGATCATTGCAGTCTCAGTGAACAAAGCCGTTTTTTCCCCTGATGACCACTGCCTGTATACAGCGAAGGATACTGGGTCGTTTCTGACCCCTGATAACTCCAAATCCATTGGTCTAAAAAACGTGTACAACTCTAAACTCATTACTTTAAACCAAAGGATCTGAAAACTTTCACTATCACCCCCGTGCCCCTTTCTGATTTTGATCACCCGAACCACACGTTTTCGTCCTAATTATACATGTTTTCTTAACGCGCTGCAGTACACTCACTTTCGTGCAGCTAAACTCACAAAATATCCACTCAGTTGTAGTGATAGTGGTTGGTGAAATCGGATGCTAATTTTGGCAATCCTACCAGAATATAAATAGTTCTTTATCCGATTCTCCCGTTAGATATCTAAAAGTGGAATCCGGTCTCAAAAAAACCGAACGTCATGGAGCCTATGATTCTCATCGAGACGCACCAGGTGAGAGAATCGGGCATGAGACGATTTGACTGATCGTTTCCGGCCTTTGACCGTGGGATCACTCGCTCCCCATCTAGGTTGGAGATTTCTGAGTCTTTGCCTAGTTGCCGATTTATTCAACCCACCTGGACACTGGCGACAAGTCAATGTAAGTAGCCATCGACGCCTGCAAAGGGTCTGATGACAATCAGGCCACAGATTGAGGAGTATTATGCAGGTATGAATATCATGACCATTTTGCCGATTCAGGAAAGAAAGGTTCTGGTAAAAAAGGTTCTGGTAAGAAAGGCCTTAACCAACTGAGTTGTTCGTTACTCTAGCTATCCGGTAAGACTCCAGCAAGTGGTTTGGTTATTAGATCAGACATCTGGTTGGGATAATCACCCTGGTGACAGACCATCTCATAGAGGTGACCGTTTTGGTGACGCATGAGGGTGGACTAACTTTAAAGGTAATGTACACGCGATATTTAACCTAAAATTGTCATAGACCGGTAAAAAACGAGACCATTTGTTTAATCGTCCAAAAATCAAACTAATGGGGTTTCACTCAAGAATCAGTTTGGGTAAGTCACTTTCAGGAGTTTGCCATTTACTCAACCCTTCAAAAACTGTCTCCTTAGTGAACTTTAGCCACACAAGAGAAGGGAAGTGGTGCACCCGGACAGGAAAGGTTACCTACTTCTGCCAACCTCAGACATCGTCCACCGATGCCTCAGCCTGGCAGTGGTTGGCTGAACGCGCCAACCTCAGACATCGTCCACCGATGCCTTGTTAGCCTGGCAGTGGTTGGCTGAACGTGGTGAGCTTACATAGAAGTGATGGGCGAGTCATTGAAAATGGCAGTCGCCATGGCAACAAACACGATCTGTCAGTTTGGGTGGTTGGAGCATGTGCTGCGTACGTCCGTCCTGTCACAAAGTACTGCTTTTCACTTCACACTTGCTGAGAAAGTTTCCTCAGGGAATATGATGTGATTTGACAACTCAAAATGATCTTGCTGAGAAAGTTTCCTCAGGGAATATGTGATTTGACAACTCAAAATGACAGTGGAGACTGCTTAACTGTGTGCTCTGGGATCTTCTGGCCTTTCTGACTTGGATCCAGGTGGCGGATGTCTGGAAACCCTGGAAACTTATCCCGATTTTTAACAGGAGTGCTTATTTAAAATATCTCTCGTTGTGCCCTTGGCTTGTGTTGGGTATGGTTAGCCACAAATACCGGGTCATTCCCGTCAGCATGACGCTTAGATATTTTTCGGGGTCATGTACACTATGTTTTTTGACTATTTTACCTGAGAATAATAGTTTCTCCATCCGTATTTTCCCACTTACTATCCTTCTTTTTCTCCTTAGTAGAATAATATTTCCACGTTCAGGTTGATACCAGTTTTTAGTACAGGTATAGTATAGTATAGTAGTATAGCTACGAGCCCACCATAATTCCTGAGACACTAGGAGATGACGATATTGAATCATATAAATTTGATACAGAATCGGAATTTGTAGTATACGGTTCGCTTGCGTATATCTTCCAGGAAGGCATTCGATGCTCCTCCTCCGTACTTTTGTGAGGTCTACAGAGAGCACAAGTAAAAATTGAAACCAATCGGGTCGTCGGAAGCTGCGCTAGAACTAGCACAACTCATGCACAACTGTACATAGGGCATGGAAAGTGTTAAGAATGTCACATTCGTAGCCCTTCCCCAAGAATAATGTCTAACTTCATGAACTCACGGCTGCCCATGCGTGTGTATCACCATGTCACAAAAAGTGCAGAATCGCTGGGACACGTGAAATGGCTTTGAATTTTTGTCAGAAATACGTAGACGCTGGCGGACTGGCCACAGCACGTCAAAACCAACGTTGACGTTGTTAGTGGCTAGTGAATGGCAGAGCAATTCGTGAGTGTACCCATGTAGCAGATAGTACTTTATACCCATCAGCCACTAAGTTTATTGGCGGACGTCTAAAAATGCCCGAACCGTTTTGGATACGTTCTGGTTTTTTATGTGGCTGGAAAGTGAATTAAAAGTTCTCGATGAGCATCAAGGCTCATGGCGTCCCGAAAATGTTAGAGCAATAAAACGAGCACTTTGGACGGTGAGATTTGTGGAAAAATAGTACTTTTCTTGAAGCTTCTAGATAGAACAATTTTTAAACACCATCAAAATCTGTAGCATGATGCAAAAACATTTGCTTTTCCAGCACAAACTTCAACGCTTCGTTTGGTCACTTGACCAGTTATCCATGACTGGGCAGAATAGCACCCAAATACTACTATCATACCTAGATTTCCTCTACAAGTATATTTCTTTCTTTTGAACGAGCTCACTGGTCACTTCAGTATTAATCGGATTTTAAAAATTCGGTAAATAGGGAACATCCAGGACAGTCAGTTGAGAAGACATTTGCCTGTCAAATTGTTGTTCGTCAAACCAGATACTAATTTCCGTAAGATAGGTTGTACCATAAGCCTTAGTCCATTTACAAAACATCAACCGTATGGCAATGATCCACCGTGCGATGTGCGAATGCGACTTCCACGGTTTGTAATGTTTCAGTTATGTCTTATGGGAAGGCGTTTTTACCGCCCCTCTAGCTTGTTATCCTAAGTCAATGAGACGAGGAATTCTATGGATTATTACGCGATTGCTGTCTGGTTAATTTCCCTCTGTATCTCCCATAGTTTATACTGCATACATCCGTACTTGCTCCTTAGGTGTCACAGAGTAATCAGTACCAGATCCGAATGTTAAACTCTAATTTTTCACATCGCCGGTATAGAAATTGTTCGTTCAACGCCTGTTTTTTAGAATAAAGTGATAGATTGAGACCAAGTGGACCACAGTTGTTGTAAGAAATACATTAACTAGCCATTAGAATACCTGCACCGTTTTCGATAAAAATGGGGCCAAGTATATTGTGCGCTGTAGGTAGGCTGATCGATTGAAGAAAAAACAACGATGATTGCAGAGATTTCTAAAGTTTCGAGCACCGTGAGTGACCCTCCTCATGAACTTACCCTTTCCATAGTATGCAAGATGTAAATACTCTCACATATCGAAAAGGGGACAGTTAGATTTGCCTGATTGACAGTACTTACGATCTCGATGAAAAAAGCCGTGAGTGACCCTCCTCATGAACTTACCCCTTCCATAGTACGCAAGATGTAAAGCATTATATTGAATGATATAACGCTGTAAATACTCTCACATATCAAAAAGGGGACAGTTAGATTTACCTGATTGACAGTACTTACGATCTCAATGAAAAAAATTAAACAGAGGACCAAAAAGCACGCGAACTTAGTATTCTGGCATCTGCTGGAAAAATCAGCGAAGCGCAGCCGACGCTGAATTTGTCAAAATCTAGTCCTATCATATCACACACGAATACAGGCTAGAAAAAATAACTGAAATAGAGCAAAAGCATTCGGGTTTTTCAATACACGGACCCGCAGAACGGTTATAGATAATTCATTCGGATTTGTTACTCAACATACTGCTAAATACGAATTTCTGTTAAACGTTTTAGGACGTTTTGCGCGTTTTTAGGATATGAAAACTAGACCTACCGTATTTGCTAACCAGATCGAACCAGTTATTAATCACTGCTTCTGAGCGGGCAGGCAAGTAGTGTTCGAATCGTGTGGCATACAAATTGGTTTTGCCGGTGTCTGTCGACTGAATTCCGTAATCTTTGGGAAAGGAGGTGACATTATCTTGAACAAGGGACGACGCATGAAAGGCACCCGTGGCAGATTCCATCCGGGATTGGAGCAGCCTAGTCCATGTTGTTTCTGTTGAGCGACCTGCTGTTATCCTCACCTCAGTTCCGCGTGAACTACCTGAGGTCGCAGTTAGCTCACACTGCAGAAAATTTTGACCACATTCTCTCGATGATTGGATCTGACGTAACTTTGTACAATACGGGTCCAGCAATGAGCTAAACTTGTTGGAACCCTCAGACTGTGCACAATGGTTTCGATCTGCATCGTGCTTCGGTTTCCGAAGAAGCGCATCTATGGAGAAACTCAAGGCGTATGCCGTGGTTTGGTTATTCTCAGCCATTGTGACTTTTTATTCAGCTGCTTCAGAGATATACATTGCATAGGTAACACCAGTTTTATGGTTGATGACTGTTCGCAGCTTGGGCGGTATTGCATTGTCTACAACATTTGGTCTGAAGTTGCAAAAACTTGAGCCCATTTCCATTTCAAGTGTACGTCCATACATTTATTCCCCCGATGGCTTCATCGAACACTAACTCCTTCGGATGCGTCTGACCAAAAAGGAGAGCATACGGTCGCTATTCTGCCGCAATCGCAGTGGGTGAATAGCCACCAATCACGATGTGGGAATGTACCATAGGATTTTCTCACCCCCTCTAACGGTTTGTCACAGCCGTTTGTAGCGCATTCGTTTCGTGACACTGGTGAGGCATGAGTGTGGGATGTGGAAATTGTGTGCATCAGTGTGTGGCTACCTGCAGATGTGTCAGGCTACGGTGCACACCGTCTAACTCAGTCCTTCCTATGTAATGGGACGTATGAAAATGCACAGCGTCCCAGGAAAGAACAGAATTATTTTGTCAGTCATCGCAAATAAATCGGAAGATTCATCGCAGATCACAGCTGAAAAGCAACTACTAATAACGCCTTATCTGGCCAGCGAGAGTGAGGCTGGGACGGGATAACGTGTCATGGACAACCAAATATCGACAGTTTATACGGGAGTTATTTTCTGCTGCTATTACAGCAAGCCTCCCAACAGAACTGTATGTAGTTGTAGTTATAGGGAATTATGAAGGTGGTAGAAGGGAAACAGAGCATGGCATGGAGAGGACAAACTGGTGCTAAGTAGCGCATTGTAATTGTCGAAAAATGCTATACACTGACCTGGTAAAATTTAGCATCCACGTCCCTCGCACTGAAACAGCCAAGAATCTGTTCCAGTATGGTTATTCTCGTTAGTTTACAAAAAAACGGGAGCGGCGAATC